AGTGACAGTGGTCGGCTACTACAATTAGTATGTTGATGTTACGCAGCGAAATGTAAAAAGTACAATTATAGTTGTAAGAAACGCGTGTTTTCTGTATGGTTATACAAACGGAAGGAAGTTATTTTTATTTGGCACTTCATATACAATCTGTCACTTACATAGCACGGTTGCATTTATATAATCCCTAAATACAGTTCAATATAAAATAATATATGTGACCTGGTCGTACGGAAAGGGGGCTTAGGTGTCAAAAAATCGATTTTCACTTTTTGGTTGATTCGGATGGAAGATGAGATGCTTTTTCACGTGGTGAAAAGCAGAAAATCCTAACTTGCTTAGAAGTACAAAAACGTCAATTCTTCAGTGTTACTTTTTTAAATGTTCCACACTAGCAACTTACACGATGAACTATAATAATATTCCGACCAACAACAACACTTACTGGACCAACAACAACACTTACTGGACGTCCGGCGCGGAGAACAATTAACGAGATAATGAGAAACTGACGAAACGAGTTGCTTACTTTTAACAGCTTTTTCACAGAAAACTAGTTTTCGCACGTAAGCTCCCTTTTCGTAGACCAGGTCACATATTTATTCAACACCCTTCCGGAATATTTTATTTTATATAAAGCAGAATATTATGTGTTTAATTTTTCAAAAAAAAATTTAAGCCAACTTCATTCAAGAAAAATTTAATTTTGTGAGCATTAACAGCCTTCGTTAAAATATCCGCCAACATATACTTCGTATTGATGTATTCAAGTTTAATCTCACCGTTTGCAATTTTCTCCTGAATGAACTTTGCTTTGATATGTACATGTTTTGTACGCGCAGAAAAAGAGTTGTTGGTTGCTATGAACATTGCGCTTTTGTTGTCACAAAAAATAGCCACAAAGACTCTTGAATAGCACAGACCGTCGACATCAACTCGGCTTCTGTCGACAAAAGTGCTACAGTTTGTTGCCGCTTGGTTGACCAAGATATTGCACCACCTTGGAACATAAAGATGTACCCAGTAGTGGAGCGTCTACTGTCGGTGTCACCAGCCCAATCCATATCACAAAAGCCAGCAATTTCATCAGAGCCCTTTCTTTAAAATAAACATTTATTTATGGTACCTTGCAAGTACCGCAATATGCGCTTCAGTGCAGTCCAATGTGCCTTGCCGGGGTCAGAGGAGAAACGACTCAGCATATTGACTCCAAAGCAGATGTCCGGTCGAGTAATCTGTGCAGCATATAATAGACACCCTACAGCCTGCGTGTAAGGTACTTTAGCCATCTCAGTTCGTTCAGCGTCAGTCTTCGGACACATTTCAGATGTCAACTTCTGATTTATATCGATTGGCGTGGATATTTTTGAATGACTTATGAAGGCTCGCTTTTAGTTTTTTTATTTTGTTAATGTCGTTACTGAATATTAAGACGTCATCTACGTATATGGCCACATAAAACAGTTCACTCTCGGAGTTGGCGTGGTAAATACATTGATCCACTTCACTTCTGTGCAGTCCAAAGCTTAGTAGTACGGAGTTAAGCTTTTCGTTCCAAACTCGACTTGATTGTTTTAAGCCATATATCGACTTACGCAGCTTGCAGACCTTCCGGAATTGTCATCAAAACCGGCACATTGTGTCATATATATTTCTTCCTTCAGATTACCCTTCAAAAAGGCGGTGACAGCGTCCATTTGGTGTATAATCAAATCGTGTTTAGCAGATAAAGCCAAAAGGAATCGAAGCGACGTATAACGTACGACCGGCGCGAAGGTTTCTTCGTAATCGATTCCCCTTTACTGGCAATATCCCTTCACAACGTCTCGCCTTGTGTCGAACTGCTTCGCCAGCAGCATTAATTTTGTTTTTGAAAACCCATTTGCTGGGAATAGCTTTCTTTCCTTATGGTAGCTCTGTAAGTTCCCATGTCTTGTTAGCCATGTGCGAAACCATTTCGTCTTCCATAGCGGACTTCCATTCGTCAGCATTTTCTCGTGATAGAGCTTCTTTAACTGTTTGAGGCTCTTTAAAAATAAAGCTCAAAGCACAAAAATTATGCGAAGTACTCGGCTTATTATTAAGGCGTTCAGATCTACGTACCTGCAAATCAGTTAAAGATACATTTTCCTCCGGTACGTACGTTTTGTCGTTGGCATCTTCATGACCGCTGCTGTCATCAATTGATGTGCCAATGTGGCTCGCTTCTGCAGTTCAGTTTCGTATTGTAGATTCTACTTCTTCTGAATAACTTCTCTCATCAGTTGATGACGATTCATTACTCTCAACTTGCCCCATTGAACCGGCATCAAGTTCGTTGGACTGTTGCCTAAAATCGTAAACATGGATATTTTTGGGCAGCGATAATGATATTTGCTTTTCATTCTCAAGAAACATTACGTCGCGACTTATGAAAATTGTTTTTAAGAGCGGATTAAACAAACGATGTGCTTTAGCAGTATCACTATAGCCAACAAATGTGCATTCAAGTGATTTCGGTGCCAATTTACCTGTGCGTCTAGGTTTTGGTATATGGACAAGAGCTTTACACCCAAATACCCGCAAATGTTTCAAATCTGGTTTCTTGCCTTACCAAAGTTCTTCAGGGCTAGCATTGTTTGATTTACGCGCTATACGATTCAACACATATGCCGCCGTATTCGCGGCTTCAGCCCAAAACTTCTCATCCAGGTCCGCATTTAAAAGCATGCATCGAATCCGCTCTATTAGCGTTCGGTTCATACGCTCTGCCACGCCGTTTTGTTCAGGCGTATACGGGGTTGTGGTTTGATGTAAAATTCCACATTTTGAAGTATATTTCTTGAACGTTCACATACTCGGTCCCGTTGTCTGAGCGCAATATCTTAATGCTTTTAGTGCACTGATTTTCAACAAAATTCTTGAATTTTACAAATTTTTCGTACACATCGGATTTAGATTTGATTGGAATTGCAAAGACTTTACGTGTATAATCGTCAACAAACGTAAGTATACAACGTGCACCTGAGTAGGATGCCACTTGGAATGGACCCATTATATCTGTATGAACGATGTCTAAAACGCTTGTCGCCCTACTTTCGCTGTGATTGAATGGCGTTCTGGCTTGTTTGCCTTTAACACATACCACGCACTTGAAATTATCAGCTGAATTGAACTTCATTCCACTCACCGTCCCCGTAGCAGACATCATATTGTTGTTTACATGCCCAAGCCTTCTGTGCCATAAATTGTAATCCACAACTACAAATGTATGATCCTTCCTGTCTTCGATTCCTTGACAATTCAATTTGTAGAGCCCGTCAACTAGTTTTGCAGATGCAACTAGAGTGTTATTTTTATTAGAATTTTGCAAAGATTGCCCTCGAAAACAATTTTCTTTCCGTTTAACGCGATTTGACTAACTGAAAGGAGATTTGTGCATAAATTCGGCACATATTCAACGTTTTTTGCAGTGATCTTGCTGTTTTCGTTGCCTTTTATAATTGACAATTCTAAATCTCCAACACATTCGATGTTTAATTTATTGTTGTCTGCAATTGTTATTGCCTTGTTTGTTGTAGGCCTTTTGTTTTGAATAAGTTTGTCACTACACGTCTTATGGTTTGTCGCGCCTGAATCAATATGCCAATCTGTTGCCTTTTTTATATTTGTACACAGCGAAGCCAACAGAACTTGATCGTTTTCTTTCTTTGTTTTGTTTCGACAGTTCTTAGCGAAATGTCCAGGTTGCTTACATACATGGCAACGAAGTTTTTTTGTTTTATGCTTGTTGTGGTTAATGCCGTACCTGAATACAAAGCTCTTTCTTCGTTGCTTTGTGCATCGAATTTAACATCCTGAAGTAAGAGCGATTTTATTGAATCAATAGTAAGCACCTTCTTTGAGTTTTCAACTGCTAATACTAGGGATTTAAATTCATTGGGTAACCCTGCCAACAACAACGATGCGATCAACTCGTCGTCTAGTTCGAGTCCTGCTGTTTTCACTTTTATGGACGTAAGCACCATAGTGTTAATGTATTCTTGCATTGATGGGAAGTCTGATAACTTTAGTTGAACAAGCTGTTTTAGCAGTTCAACTTTCCTAGTATGCTTCCATTACCCATTGGTTACTTCCATTTCCCCTACTTCTAATGTGTCATGCAAAACTGTTTTGCATGTTACCTTTGGCGAGTGCTCTGATCGCTTGCAACATGGTCAATATTGCTGACGTAACAAGAACGGTGTCTCAAGTGTTTCACGTGTGTCATAATTATTAAAAGTATGTCAAACGCGGTTTGGACATCGACTTGCTTTCTCGCGTCAGCAATATGCACATGCATTAGTGTGGTCAGGCACACTACATCCTACCCCTTAAGAAAAATATAAATTAATTGAAATTTCTTAAAATGTAAATTGATTAATATTTAGGTATGTCTTAATCGTAGATTTGTGGTATGATTTCTTATATTGGTGTATCTATATGTATAAATGTCTGTGGACAGTTATTTTGGATAATGTATTCTTATTTTTATTTAGTTACTCCTATCCTTAACTAAGTTATTATTGTGTACAGTTATTTCCTTTTTGTTTTTTAAAATGGTGCTATTTGGTCCATCTTGTCTAATTATTTTGTATGGTCCCTCAAATGGTGGGTCTAATTTTTTTCTATTGCCTACTTTTAAGTAAACATAATCATTTATTGTGAAGTTTGCTTTATTCACTTTTGTTTGCTTATCTTTAGCTCTTAATTTGCTTTCATTCAAATTTCTAGCAGCATTGTCATGTGCATATCTAAAGCTCTTCGGCGATTTCAAGCATCCGTTGATGGTTACCCCAGCAACCGAGGCAATCGGAGATCGTCGTGTCACACGTACTTGTTGTCGGCTCGCGTTGATGGAAAATCAAAAATTTTTGATTTTCCATCAACGCGACCGCTTGACAAGCGGTCTGTTTGATAGTGGCGCAAAGCGTTGACAAGCATTAGTGTGTTAGTTTGTTGTGATATGTAAAATGAGCAAGTGCGCGGAAGATAAAGATTTTACGTTGCGGTTTATTGAAACTTATGCGTCCTTACCCGCTTTGTGGAATACTAAGTGCGAAGCATATTCCAACCGCGATGAAAAGTGTAAGCAATACGACATTCTGCTGGAAATATATAAGGAAAGATACCCCAATGCAACGGTAGACGACGTAAAAAAAAAAATCAACGTTTTGCGCACTAACTTTCGCCGAGAAAGGCAAAGATTGGCTGAATGCAGCAAAAGCGGAGCAGGCTGCGATGATTCGCTAGAGCCAAATTTATTTTATTATAACGATATGCAGTTCTTAAGCGATGTGGACATTCCATGCTCGTCCAAGAGTACCTTACAAGGCAAGGTAGGTAAACTTTGATATTTTTTTTGTTATATGTGATGCATAAGGAAACTTTTTCATTTGCCTGGTGTAAGTTGCTTTTTCTAGTTTCTTTTGTGACAGTAAGTGTAGAAATAGTGTTAGGGTTAGGGATACCGTCGGTTCAGTTAAAATTGGTCAAAAACGCAAACAAATAGATGTGCAAATACTTTATATTGTTTACATTTATTTGTTAATACAGTGTTGTGCAATACAATAACAATACAGTGTTGTGCAATACAATAACAATACAGTATGTATCAGCGAATGTATTTTTGCTGCCAGCAAACTGCACCCTCGTTGGAAAAATACTCCGCGAAAGCTCGACGAACTTCTTTGGCTTTATTGGATGAGTTTCTTATATGAGTGCTTTGCAATGGACTCAGATCCGTGTGATAATTTCGCCATGCTCCTTCGACCACATTTCCAGAGTTGATGTCCTCTTGGTCAACTAAATCGGAAAATGAATAAGTTTTTTTATGCCGTAAAAAATTGTGCAAATAGCAGCAAGCTAAAACAATTATTTCTGCCTTTTCTGGCGCCAATTGCATAGTTGTTTGTAAAACTCCAAATCGTGCTGCGAGTATTCCAAAGACATTCTCAACAACTCTTCGTGCCCTGCTCAACCTATAGTTAAAAATTCTTTCCTCATTTGTGAGGTTGGTGCCAGAAAATGGTTTCAACAAATTTTCCTGCATTTGGAAAGCATTGTCAGCAACAAAAACATATGGTAGTTCCACATCGCTCATTGGAATCTGTGAAGGGCTGGGAATTGGCAGAGACTTGCTATAAATAGCCCTCCCGAATTCTGTGTTCTTTATAACGCCCCCATCTGATATTCGTCCATTTGTACCAACATCTGCAACAATGAATTCGTAGTTAGCATTTACAACTGCCATTAGTACAATGCTATGAAATTTTTTGTAGTTGTAATAATGTGAGCCAGAGGCAGGTGGTTTTTTGATTGCAATGTACTTGCCATCTATAGCACCAATGCAATTTGGAAAATTCCAATCATCACTGAACCTATCCGCTATCGCTTTCCACTCTTCTTCGGATTGCGGCACCTGGAAACGATAAAAAAATACAATAAATTCTTCTTTTTTCATTTCAGAATCTTTTGAGGGAAGCTGTATCTAAAGCGTCAAAAAGAAAGCTTGATGCTACTGAAGCTTTAGTGGAAATCGCTTCTAAACGTTTCGCGGGCAAGGAAAACTCGACATCAACAGCAATTACGAATTCTTGGGCGGTGAAACTGGATAGGATGGCTACTGAACAACGGATTCTCTGTGAAAAATTCGTTGAGGACATTATGTTCGAGGGCCAAATGGGAACGTTGACCCGGAACTCTGTTAAAATAAACGCAGCTGCTTCCCACCCAATCCCCGTAACTTTTAGCCGCACGAGTTCTCCTATAGTGCAATACTCCAGCACTTCTTCGACACCAGCCGGATATGAAAGCAATAGTATCACACCGGTTCATTTCAGCAGCAACGATTTTGTCGATGGCAATGTATCAACTCAATCGATATCTGATTTTTTTTCATCATTTACTGACTGATTAAAACCTCAATTCGCGTTCTTTTCAATTGAGTGAACTACAGTGCACTCGCCATAATATGAACATCCCAAAATATTAATACTTTTTCGCTTCATTGACTATTCTAAACCATGAACTTTTGGCTTAAGCTCTAAAATGAAGTTCATACTTTAGTTCATATTATCGCGACTGCACTGTATTTCAATAAAAGACTGAAAAATGTGAAAAGTAGTATTATTGTTCGACATAAAACTGTAGGTACCTTTATTTTTATATTTATTTTTACGAAGACTGAATATTTGTTTTAATTGAATAAAATTTAAATTACACCTTTTTCAGTTAAAAAAAATTCTGAATATCAAATGGAAGTTCTGAGTATTAATTTTCTGAATATAAACTGAAAAATGTGTAGCAGTTGAAAGTAGTATTATAGTTTGACAAAGAACTGTACTTTTATTTTAATATTTATTTTTGAATTGAATAAAATGTTATTTAACAAAATGTGAAAATCATTATTTAACTATGGGGGTTTGCAAGAAACAATCAGTTGGATGCTGGCCTGGTTTTAATTAGTTCTAATTATCGCGAGTGCACTGTTATTGTAACCCAATTTGTGTAATATTCACCTGTCGCAAACTAGATTTGTTGTTTATTTTTATGGTATTTCTTTCCTTTAGCACCCACCTGCTAAAAAATTAGCTAAAATTATGATTTTTTTTTTGAAAAGCAATAACACCCAGTATGCGATTGTCAGCCACATTACGATACTTAGCGACTGGACAAAAATTTGAGGACCTGAAGTTCTTAACAGCGATTTCTCCAAGATCCCTTGGGAGAATTGTTATTGAAACTTGTGAGGCTATTATTTCATGCCTCTCCAATTATATTAGGGTAAGTATATAAAAATGGTATTTCTTTCCTTTAGCACCCACCTACTAAAAAATTAGCTAAAATTATGGGGAGGGCTTAAAAAAGCGCTTCCGGATTCGTGATCCTCAGGCAAAAACACGCATTT